AACTTTTACATTTGTATCCTATTTGTACACATGATCTATTTGAAAATATGGACTTAATGAAAACAATGAGGTCCTTCTCATTGATGAAGAAGGTGAAATGCTAATAGAAATTCAGCCTTTGCACTTTTTTTTTAATCTCATCCGTCGCTTGAAAAGTCTCACCCAACAGCATAAATACGTAACTATAATATTGCCACAGGGACATGAAAGACAGTTCGAGGAATATAATTAATAATGTTGTAAATATTTTGTGGGGTGTCAGATGGTCACATGTCTTGCTAGGGAGACCGCATCATGGATGGGGAAGAGGCTTGATCACTGCACTGCACACCTGAAGTTGATGTTGTATAATATTGGATGTCAACTATAAGTGAATATATACATACATATATATATATATATACACACATATATATATAGTCATGGGACGTGGAGTATAGTGTGGGAGTGGAGTCAAGGGAATTGTAATAGATATGTATGATACTGGGGGGGGAAGTGGGGTGGCGGATTGGGGGAGGGGGGTTGTCACCTCGAGGGGTATAAAGTATAACTATTGCACTGTGTTGTACAGCTGAAACTAATTCTAAAAAATGTGTATTTCACAATAAAAAATAATTTAAAAAAAAAAGAAAAGTCTCACCCAGTGAGAGTCAGTCTGTCCTTCACTCTTTCTTCCTCTCTCTGAGCCTCAGTTTCTTTATCGTACAACCAAAGCCTGGGTCCTGATGACCCTGGTGCTGTCATTCAATCCCAGTTTGTGATTCTAGCTCATTGTCTCCTGAAGACACTTCTTTGTTACCCAGTAAGCGTGTGGAATCCTGGTAAGCCTGCAGGACCAGGCCCGGTCAGGGCCAAAGTCACACAGCCAGAGCCCAGGGAGAATACCCAGGTCAGCCAGGTGGGGCCCTGGGTGTGGAGCCCCAGGGACATTCCAACAGGAGGTCCAGAACCCTCTCCGTGGTCGTAGTGGTGGTAGTGGCGTCAGTGATGTCCCCAGATGCTCTTTGACCCTCCCTTTCAGGAAGACCTCAGTAAGGTGGGAGCGGAGGTGCAGAATCAATGAATCTGGGTTTCAGTGAATTAATGAATTTGAGCTTGCTGGTGTCTCAAAGGCATCAATGGCCTAAAGCCTCTTATAGTTGATACTCAAGGCTCCAACCCTTAGAGGGCAGGAAAACAGCAAAGGCAGCGGGTAACTCCCAGGGCCTCTGAATGCTCCCATGCTGCCCCAAATTTCCTACCAGCCTGGAAGTCCGCCTCGACCAGAGAGTCCCTTGCTCCTTCCCCACCCTACACCCCGGACCCCTGTGCCTCATGGCTCCCGATAAGGCAAGCGTCCTGGGCCAAAGTCAGACACCCAAGGCTGGAGAAAAAGGGACAACAACACCCCCATCTTCAAATGGGTGGGGTTCTGGGGTCTGCAGGGTACCTCGGAAATGCACGGCAAGATCAGGGCAAAGGCCAGGCAGCAAAACGTCTAGAAGTCGCCTCTCCCTTGTTGACCTCTGTGCAGGCTGCTCTTGCCCTTCGAAGGGGAACCCCAGAGCCCAAAGTCAAGGCATGGGTCTGGCCTACCCACCTCGTGGTCTCAGCCTAGCCTTATTCTGACAGGTGGTGGCCACCCCCATGCTCAATGGAGCCTTGAACTCCTTGGAGAGGCTTCCTTAATCCCTTCAACAGATCCTGACTTGAGATTGGGAAACAGGCATGTGGGAGATGGAGGGCTGGGCTGGGTCTCCCTGCCTGAGGTTTCAGGGGGGCCACTCTTTATCTCGAGAGTGGTCTACCACACCCACACTGTCACACAACACTGATTTCTCTAGTGAACACTTTCCCAATGTTTTGAAAGGGCCACACTCTGTCTACCGGGCATCCCTGGACATGACAGCCACCCCCACACTACTGTAGTTGAGGTGACTTTTCTCCAGGCTTCTGACCCCTTTGTGGGATAGCCCTGATTCGTTCTCAAAAAGCCATGGAAAAGAGGCCCTGAGTTCCCACTTGTTCCATTAAAGCCGCTGCTATTTTATTCCTGGACTTGGCTTGGTCCCTCGAGTTGGGCTGCAAATTCCACAGGGAGGGAATTGTCAAATATAAACCAAATTTGGACCGCGCAAGAGACTTTCTTGGAAAGGGTTATTGCAGACGGGATGACCCATCACCTTTGGGGGGACACTGCTCTGACAAGATGTGCAGTGTCTCAGGAGCTAGGCAAATGAGTGTGGAGTGTGGGTGCTCCCAGGAGGGACTGTGGGCACAGAACTTTCCCCCCCCAACCCCCCACCCCAGGCCAGCCTGTTCTAGGAGGGACTGTCTGTAGGCTCGGGCTAAGGGGGCCAAGTTCAGGGGTCTAGGGAAAGAGAGAAACCAAACTAGAGTTTGATTAACGAGCATCATTCAATAGATTGGTGGGGACGGATGGTTCAGCTCATCACTGCTGAGGCACAGATGGAATGTGAGGGTCTGTGTCCAGCCTGGCCACAGGTCAACAGGGATGTTGTGAGTGTCCTCTAGTCATGCAAAGAGGGGTTTCTCGGCAGTGAGCCAGTTCCAGAACATGGGGAAGGGGGTTCTCAGCCCTCACTGTTTTCCAGGATGGCAAGGCTCGGTGAAGTCCAGCACTGTCAAATAAGTGTTGTTTGTCCTGCTGTCCCTGGGGACACTATCCCCACCCCAGCCACCTACAGCCTCTCCCACTGCCCCCACACCCCCCACTGACTAACACCCTTCATTGGGGCTGTATACGTGGAGAGCCTGGACTTGCTTTCTTTCCTCTGTTCATTATGAGTTTCTGTTGGCCTGAGGCTCTGCAGTTATGTGAACTGAGCAGGGACCCTGAGTACCTAGGGGATGGGGCAGGAAAAGTATTTTCACCTTGTACCCTTTTGTTCCTTTTGAATTTTGGATCAGGTGGATGATTCACCCATCCACAAAACAATCCTTTTCAAATTAGCTTTGAGACGACATCAGCAGGCTCTCTGGGATGCTGGCACTGGGCTGTAATTTGACCTAGGCAGGTGGAAATTCACCGTGCTGTGCCCATAAAAGTTACGAACTTTTCTACATGGGGGTCTAGGGTCCTGGGGACATCCCCAGGTTTCTGAGCTCTCTCACTTGGCCCAGATGTCACCCCCACCTCCCCAAGCCCACCCATTCCCACAGCCTGCCCAAATCCCTAGCTCTTGCGGTTCTGGCTAATTCCACGGGCAAGGGTGGCTTTGCGATGTCAGAGTTCCCTGCCTTGCTGCCGATGGCCTGACCCCACCAACCCCTCTTCACCAGTTCCGTCTATGTACATGGTGGGTTTGGTGAGCCTGGCAGAATTTTCCAAGAGTTTGGGGATCACAAGCAGACGTCTCTTGTTGTAGCAGCCAGCATCCCAGCCTTGCCTCCTCCTTCCCCTCTTTCATCCAAACACACATGCCTCTCCATGCAGAGCAGTTGAGTCATTGTAGGTTGTTGCTTGAATGTGCCCCTGGCATCCCTCTATCCCGTGGACATTTCTCTCCCCGCACCCCAATTCCTTCCTCTCTCATCTCTCAACATCTCACTGCACCTTCTCTCTCTAAACCCCTCTCTTAAAGAGCTGGACCAGACAGCTCTCCTCTGACCGCCACACATATGGAAGTTTGTTCGGGGTGGTCCGAGAACTGTCCTTTCAAGGGTCCAGACTGTTTTCCATCAGCAGTGGAAGGAGAGCTCGTCCCCAAGCTGAGGGAAGGGCCAGCTGCTGGGTGCAGCCAGGGCCATGGGAGGGTCACGATGAGTTTTTCAATCTTTCACATCTTTCATTATGTTTTCCATCTGCTTCCATGCAAATGGAAGGATTTTAATACACTTCTTAATGCACTGTGATGTGTGTCATATAGAGAGAGCTGTTGGGCTTCTTGGAGTAATAGCAGAAAGTGGATGCCTAGGTAGCTTAGGCAGGAGTGACAACCATCGTGGGCACCTGAGCCGCTGGGGGCATGGGTGCCGCCAAGTCAGGCAAGCTCTGCAATCCCCTCTCCCACCTGTTGACTCCACACCTCCACCCAGCCTGCGGGGAGGGGGAGAGTTCCTCCATGTACTCATTTGGGGGCCTGCCTGGCTTTGGGGTCCAGTATGCAGGGTAAATTTGGTGACCTGTGAACCCGGTGTTCTCACAAGTGGCAGCAACACTGGGACCTGACACTCAGAGGGCCTTTCTGCACACTGCGGGTGGCTCTAGGTGGCACTCCCTACCCCAAGCCCATCTGGCAGCCCCATTGCCTGCAGGAGGGAGAGGGAGCCCCCTTGGCGGGTACCCAAAACCTCCAATCCTAGCCTTTGCACCCCAGGCTCCTGACCTGGGCTCATTTGATCGCTTCCATGGATGGTCCTCGCACCCTCGTCATGGTTCAGGCTGAGGCCACTCTGCATCCTGGCACATCCCACCTGTCCTTAAGGCTCTGTTCAAACATCAATGCTTGGAAAGTTTGCCCAAATTAAATGAGAGCTATCCATGGAAGAGCTGGCATGGCTCTCAGCCCTATCCACCCGGACACCAAATACAGGATGTTATGGAAATGAGTCAGTATGCTTCCTCCTTCTCTCTTGGCCCCAAGCTGGCATGTGTGTCTTCCCTGACCTCCTGGTAATGGTCCAGGCAGCAACCAGTCGCCTGAAGTCCTGTGGCCAAGCAATTCCCACCTCAGGTCCTGGAACCTTCTCTCGATACTTCTTCTTGGTCTTGACTTCCAATGCCCCTCCCAAGAGGTAGGCTGAATTCTCACTCCGCCCTGTTGCCTCCCTCCTGGCCTTCACCACCCATTATTATCAGGGGCTCTGGCCACCTTATCTGGCCTCCAGGAAGCTGTCAGTGAATGAATGAATGAATGAATGAATGAATGAATGAACTAACAAGGTAGGCCAAGAGGAACACGATCAACCCCTTCCAGGGGAGACAACCCCTTCCAGTAGGAACATTCCTACTCGCAGAATTTGGTGCTGAAGAAAAGAATACAGAAAGCCACCAGCAGTACTTATAATTCTGATCGTTATTTTCTTTAAAAACAAAACAAAACAAAACCCACACAAAAAAACAGAACTCCCCCCACCCTGAACCAGCCAAATGTAACAGGTTAGCCATTAACAGGAGACGAGAAAGAGACATTGAAGCCACACACATCATTACAAGGCGGAGGTGTTTTAGCCAGGCTGACGACAATGCCACAGTGGCAGCAAGGACGTGGCTGGGAACACCGACAGGGATGCAAGGACAGTGAAAATGCTCTGGAGAAGCCAGGCTGAACCGACCCTGCAAATAAATAAACACAGTGCCAACAGCATCCTTTACATGATTAGTGAGACGTTAGGACAAAATAGAACAGCAGAGCGACTGAACAAATGATTGCTGGTTATATGCCAGGACTTGGTTAAAAAAAATTAATCTCCATAAATGTGAACGCTCGGGACACTTGTCAGTAGAGTGGTCAGAAAGAGTTAAGTCTCTGCCTCCCCAGACGCCAACGTGGCAGGGCCCCAGGGTGTCTGCAGATGGGCAGGGCCTCGCGGCCACAGGTGGACCCACTCAGCAGGCAGACATGATTTGGCACCTCAGGACACAATCCTTGCCTTCTGGGGAGGGTTCAGGGACTGGGCTGGACTGGGGAACACAGCTCCAAGAATTATAGATTGGGCCCCCCAACCCATCTTCACAGCAGAGGTCCCAGCCCAAATGCTAGGGAACTGCCTTTGACCTCTCAGCACCCTCTCCAGCCTCTGCCTGTGTGAAAAGGGAACCCTGGGACCCCAGTCTACCCCTGCAGGGGTGACACTGCCCCAATTCTTCATGATGGACACTGTGGGTCCTCACAGCTGTCTTCAGGCTGCTGAAGCAGGCTACTGTGGGGAGGCCACTGTGGTCTGGATAGGGTCACCTGGCTCCCTGTATCCCGAAAGGCTGTATCTATCCTCCCAGAGCCAGAGGTTTGAACCAGGACAGCTGCCCAAGTGCCCACTGCCCCTTATGGAGGAAGCTGACATTCTGCTCAGACGACGCTGGACCCCTGTGGAAAGGCAGTGTACCCCAGGCAGCGTTCTGCCATCTATGCACAGGGCTATGGTCACTATGAGGTCCACAGTCTCCTGGATGTGCACAAACCCATAAGGCAGGTGATGCACCGGCTACTGCCCCCATTTGCAGATTAGAAAACTGAGGCCCAGGGCAGGGGCTCTGCCCAACACAGAAAGTCTACAGTCAGGTCTTTTGACTTCCTTGGGAACCTTCTGCCTTCAGACGTCGAGTTCCACCCCAGATGAGTGGACTATAGCCCCACGAGGATGGAGTTCATGCAAGGCGACTTCTATGGTGGTCTGTCCTCACGCATCAGGAGCCATTGATGGCACGGGCCTCCTGGCCGGCCCTGCCTCCTCCCAGCAGGGGAGGAGGTGGACATCTGGCTGAGCCCTTTTCACCCTCACGGCCCAGCCCAGGTCCCCCAAGCTATGTGTCAGGTTCCTCTGGGTCTATTAGATGGTGTGGAAGTCCCAGAATCCAGGTGGGTGGTGGCAAGATGGACCTGCCATTTGGAGCTCAAGTGGCTGAGCATGAGGCCTGATGCCTGAGGGCTCAGCTCAATCTCCCGAGGGAAGGTCAGTGGTCAGAGGCCAAGGCAGAGCCCCCGAGCGCCTAAGATGGGGCCCTAGAGGACAACTTGACCTTAGCTGATGTTGTTCCCCAGACTGGCTCCCTGGATGGAGTGACAGCTCAGGAAAGCTTGTGATGGCTGGACACATTAGCTGGGCCTTAGCTGCTCCCTCAGGGCAAACACCACGGGAGCCCCAAGGACAAAAGCCTGCTTGCACAGCCTCTCTGGAGAGGAGGGGAGGTGTGCTGAGTTGGAAATCAGACTCCTGGAGAGTCGGGGCAGCCGCCAGAGCAGGTGCAGAGATGGAGTTTTGAAAAGGGCTGGGCTCTGTCTTCCTCCGACTGGAATCAATTCCAGGACAGGTCACAGAGGTGGTGGGAGGGGCTGGTGGTGCCTTGGCCAGGAGCCAGCAGCCAGGCCCAGACAGCATTCTGGGGCTGCCATCCAGCCAGGGAGGCCACTTTTGTGGATCCTGGGAGGGGCTGCGTTGTGGGAACCGGTTGGGACGCCCATTAGAGGTCGCAGTGTCTGCCTTCCTTGTCGTGTCTGTTTCTAGAAGATTTCAAGCCCGAGGCTTTGTCTGAGAGACCTAGAATTGGTTCCTGAACTGGGTGCAGAATGGGCCAGGAGGCAGCATCACCTGAGGGCCAGACCTGGTGTGCTGCCCACTGCCCACCAACAGGAGATGCCCAGACCCTTCTGCCTTGGTGCTTTTGCTCAGGCTGCAGTCCAGGGCAGGATGGACAAAGTCAGGAGCCCCATGGTGTCACGAATGACCGGGGTCTAGCCAGAAACCAGCCCCGCTCGGCACGTCCCGGCCGGAGCTCCAGGATTGAACAGCTGCCCGTGGCCTCTGCTCTGAGCCCCACTGGCTGCAGACACCAGGCACAGGAACTGGCTCTTCCTGTGGAGCTGGGGCTGGTGTCAGACTCAGCCCACGTCCTTTGTTCTCCTACAAACTTCTCCGAAGGCAGCCATTTCACTGAGGTTCTCTTTCATTACTGGGCATCAGGGAGGGATCTGCCTCAGGTCTTCAAGGCAGAGACGTAAGCCCAGGGTTAGTTTTCCCAATGTCACTACATCTATAACAAAGAAATAAAGAAGCCAAGCGCCCGTGTCTGTCAGTGCAAGTCCATTGTCCACAAGATGAGACTGAGTCTCGGTAGCTTATCGGCAGCTGGAGTGTTCAGCTCTCAGAATCCCTCCTCCCGTGAGACCCTGCTGAAGCTGGTGCTGCGGGGGGGTCACACCCAGAGACAGGACCTGATCCCTCGGAAGCTGCGGGCAGCGTTACAGGACCAAAGACTCCCCCCACCTGCCCTCCCTGACTTCTTTAAAAAATAATTCTCTTGGTGGCATTGACTTGACCCAACATTTAAGTTAAAAAAAAAATAATACAAATAAAAAAAAGGTGGGAAGGGAGAAGGGCCCAAGATGGCAAAAGTCTGTTGTTGGTCAGAAACCCCGGCTTCTTCTCAGTTCAGCGCTTGCGCCTCACACTCTTGAGGAGGTATTGATAAAAGTTCGTCTTCTGGGACTCAATTCGTACCAGTTTTTCACAGTGGCCCCGGCGCCTGACCTGGTGGAGGGACGGTGTGGGGCGCTCAGCTGAGCTGCCTTGGATGATGGACCAGAGTCGATTTTTAGGTGGGTGAGTTGTTTTAAAACGATCTTTGCGCGTTTTCTGTCCGGCAGCTTCCTGGCTCTTCTCCTTTATGTCTCCTGGGGGACCACCTGCATGAGCTTCTGGCAAAGGACTGTTGTGGAAACTGCAGGGGACAGGAGAGCAGTTATTCGGGGGTCATGGGTTCACATGCCTGGGAGACCAGGGGGGCCCACATCACCATGACTTCCAAGGTTGTAAGAGAAGCCAGAAACTCAGAACTTGATCTGAAACCTCCCGATCTGAGCCTTTGTACACTGGGCCCGTGGGCCTCCGTCCTGGCAGACACCAGCCTGCACTCCTGGTTAGCATAAACACTGCCTCTGTCAATGACTTTGTAAATCACCCCTGGGGGGTGTGGCCAAGGAACTTGGCAATGGGTGGAGCATGCTGGCCCCGCCCCTCACCCTGTTTCACAGCCCTGGGGTTATCAGGAGCAACAGTGGGATAATGGGCCCTGAGGCTGGGGAACTGTTTGATGGATCCTTCCCGAGGGTCCACGCCTGGGCTACTGCCTGGCAATCAGGGTTGGCAGCAAAGATGGCAACCTGCTGTGCTGCAGAGGGGGTGGAGTAGGCAGGCGAGTGTGTGCAAGAGCCCCAGATGAATACTCTGTTGGGGGTGATTTCAGGACAGAGAGTCCTGCTTTAGAGCCTGGGTGTGCTCTTTAAGATGATTAATAGGGAGCTTAGACTAGGTTGGAGGCAAAGTTCCACTGAAATGACTGATGTCACGGGGCAGGTGCAGATCAGAATTTGTCCTAGTCACGGGGCAGGTGCGGATCAGAATTTGGGGACGGTCATCCTGGGGATTTTATAAGCCATCCAGGACGTGGTGATTGGGGCGCAGGCTAGCAAACACCAATGACTTTTCCAGGATCTGGTCACATTAACAGCGGCCTCAGCACAGGCTCCTAAACTTGGCTTGTCAATCGGCCCTGTGACCATAGTGCAGAGAGTCTATTCTGTTTTCTCCTTCTCTGCCTTTCTAGGTCAGCTGCTGTGTTTAAGCTGGCGACAGGCAGTGGGATTTCGTTACTTGGCAAAAGCAGCTTGGTTTTCTGGAATCCCTTGTTCTGAGATTAGCTGGTGCCAAGCTGAGCATCTTATCCCTGAAATACACGGGCCAGGCGTCACTGCCACACACGCCAAGTGCCGGATCTCTTGGTCGGCGCCATGAGCACCCCCAGCCACGCCTGGCTGTGGGATTAGATGAGACAGCAGCCAGCCTGCTCCAGGGCGGGGTGGGATGCTGGGGGACTCCGGGCAGGGATGGAGAGGGGCGCCAGGGCCGGGCTGCCCTGGGGAGATACTCACAGATTCCCTGGAGGAGCCACTTGGGCTTGTTTTTCCACCAGACCCCGAGGAAGTAGACCGGCAGGCCACTGAGAATTATGACGAAGCCAATGCCACACTCCACAGGGGTCTTCCAGAAGGAGACAGCGATCAGGAACAGGCAGGCCAGGATGAAGAAGACAGGGAGGGCCAGGTTCACCTGGGGACAGAGGGCGGAGCAATGGACATTGGCCCAGAGCAAATGCCCAACAGTCATCGTCTATTGCTCCCTTCCAACACCTCCCATGTCCTGTCCTAAGTCCTGTCCCACCAAAAGTGATGCGTCCTACCACCCTCCTCCCCAGCAGGCCCACCCAGCCTCTCCCTTGGGACCCCCAGAGCATACCCTGCACCTCTGGCTCTGAGCCTATTCCTCCCAGTCTGGTCCAAGATTCCTCTGGACTCCCAGGGCCATTATATGTGCCCATCCATCTCCTCTAGCATTTACCAGGGTCTGACCTGTGCTGGTTTTCTCTGTGTCAGCCTCCTTCAAGGCTGGGGTCTCTGGAGAACTGAGAACTTCCCCTTTTCTATGCTTACCCTCACTCAGCACACGGCGCCGGACAGTAATTACCCAAAGCACAGACGGTACCGAGACGTGAATGCAAACAACCAGGTTGGTCCCTCAAAGCTTCCCAAGGTCAGAGGAGGTCAACCTTGCTGGTTCCCACATCACAGGGCAGAAACCCTGGCCCAGCACCACCTGAGGTCACTCAAGGTAGGGGTGCTTCTGGGAAGACCACTACCACCCACTAATAAGAGAGGGGCACCCGCCTTTTCAGAGAGCCTTTGTGGGCAGGCTGACCACAGTCTGCACAGCCACGGGCAGACAGTCTGCACACCCACCCACAGAGCTCAAGGCAGACCAGCCGCAGAGGTGCCACCAGCCCAGCCCAGCCTGGTTCCAGGGATCTTGTCCTGCTTCTGCATCTACCAGGCTTTGTGCCGGGAGGGTTGTCTACACACAGACTCAGCCATCTGTCCACACACTGGCAAGAGGCCCCAGAAGATGAAGGGCAAGCTAGGGTCCCATCCGGTCAGCCCAAACTGCATGCCCCTCCCCAGCCTAGGTTAACAGTGTGACAGAGCCTACCACGTGCCCAGGATGACACGGGGACAAAGCCCATCACAAGCAGGGAGCAAGGTGGTCCAGGGCACTACAGTTGACCTGGTACCCCAGGAGAACCTCTCCAAGGCAGGGAGCTGGGCCCTGCTGGCCTCCGTTGGACTGCTGGGTGAAGGAGTTGGGAAGGAGGCCTGCGGATGGGTGCCAGCTGTGACAGCCAAATGCCGCTGGGGACTGGACAAGGGGTAGGAGCTGCTAGCTAGTGGCCACCACGAGCCGCGAGTGAGTCTCACTCCCCTGACACGAGTCGTAGCTGACGTGCTCACCAGGCCCTTCTAGCAGGAGCATGGCCTTCATTGGCAACCCCCATTTTCGGAGAAACAAGGTCACCCTCAGGCAGCTGTCTCCCGATGCCGAGTTGATGATGAGAGGTGCATCTACCTACCTTAAGCCAGACTCAGCTGGCACCTCAGCTGTCTCCTGGGCAGGCTGAGGCCGGGGCAGGTGTGGCAGGCAGTCTAGTACCAAAACACCTCTCTTCAATGATGGAGAGCCAGTCCTGGCAGTGCCTGCGTCCTACGGACTCTGACGTCACCTCCCACCCACTCATCACCATCCTCCTCTCCTGCCCTAGGCAGCGTCCCCTGAACACACCAGTGCCTGGCCCTCCCCAGAGAGCACATGGCCCCCTCACCTCTGCCCATGTGCCACCTACTCATGACCACCCAGCCATCCTGTTCGGGCCGGTCAGGCCCCTCACCTTGCCTGCCTGCCTGCCCACTCCCACAGCGCTCATCACCTGTCCACCGGGCACTGTAGGCTTCTTATTCATTGCTTCTCCCTCTTTCTAGAATATAAGCTCTAAGAAGGCAGGGATTTGAGGGAGTCTACTTTGTCCTCTGATGAACCCCAGCACGTGAAATCATGTGCTTGGCAGGCAATCGAGAGAGATTCCCAATAATCAGTCATCAACTGAATTAATTACCCTCCATGTAGAGTTTGGAAGCACATTCACATGTTTATCTTGGTGGATTCTCACCGGAACTCTCTGCAGGAGGCAGACTGATCCCTGGTTCACCGGGGAGATGGCGGCTCGGAGAGGGATAGTAGCTTGCCCAGGCACAGGCCGGAAGGGGCAAAACCAAGAAGCTGTGCAGAGCCACGCTGGCTTCCGAGCCAGGGCCTCCAGGGACACTCGGATTCTAGTGCATGACCCACTGAGCCACCACACAGCCCCTGGGTGTGTGTCGGGCCTGGGCTGCCCGTGCCTGGCTGGGCCCTCACCTTGATGGGCCGCTCCAGCTCGGGCCTCTTGTAGCGGAGCCACAGCATCCCGATGATGGCCAGGGCCACACAAAGCCAGTTGAAGAAGCTGAAGAAGTTGATGACGGAGAAAATGTCACTGGAGAAGGCATACAGCAGGGTCATGAGGCACTGCAAGCAGAGAGAGACGGGACAGTGTAAGTCTTTGCAGGGCCCTGCTAAAGCCAGAAGTAGGACGGCCACAGACAACGGAGGCCACCTCGACGCTGGGAGACATCTGCTGAGTGGGCTGACTGCACTTGTGCACTCTTACTTTAAAGGAAGAGCTAGTCTATGCAATACACGACTTCTCAGAAAGCAAAGGCCCCACTGAGAGCGGGAAGGGAGCAAAAGCCTACACCCAACACTCATTGCAGCATTACTTGTAAGAGCAATGACTGGGAACCAACCTAAGTACCCATCACGGGGCTTATTTAAATCGGCCACGGACACCCAGGCCACTGGATACCAGGTATATGAGCCACATCTGTCCAGATCACTGAATACCACACAGCAATTTTGAAACTGAGATTGAACTCTGTGTGGTTTTGTGTGTTTTTGGTTTTGTTTTAAATTTTATTGGGGAACAGCCATGGTCATTGGTCACACATTGCTTTCATGCTACAATGGCATAACTGCTCTTTTAGGGAGGGCGCGGCTCACAGGGGCCCATGCAGGGATCGAACCGGCAACCTTGGTGTTATCAGCATGACACTCTAACCAACTGAGCTAGCGGGTCACCCCATAACTCTGTGTGGCTTTAAACATGTCCCGGTATCGTTCGGTAGTTCTCCTTTCAAGAGGTAGAACCCAGCCCTCTCTCCTTGAGCTGGGCTGTCCTTACTGACTCACTCCTAACAAAGAGTGAGACAGAAATGGCAAGTGTGACTCCTGAGGCTAGGTCATACAAACATGGTGGCTTTCTCTTTGCTGTTCCTCTTGGCTCCCTCACCCTGGGAGCAGCCAGACGCCGTCCTGAGGATGCTCACACAGCCCTGTGGACAAGCCCATGTTCTGAAGAACTGAGGCCTCCTGCCCACAGCCATGGGCGGAGCCATCCTGGAAGTGGCTCCTCCAGCTCCAGCCGAGCCTTCAGGTGAAATGGCAGCCCCAACCGCCATCTTGTTATCACCTCACAAGAGACCCTGAACCAGGACCACGGAACTAAGCTGTCCCCAAGTTCCTGGCTCACAGAAACCGAGACAATAAACGCTTTCCATTTAGGCGACGTAGTTTTGGGTGATATGTTATATAACAATAGAGAATCAAATCGCGTGTACTAGCATGGAAAGATGTAAGACAAGCTAAATAAAAATGCATGCAATGTGATCTCACTATAAATACAAACACTGTGCACGTGTGTTGCACACCTGTAAACACACCACAGAGCTCCACAGACACAGAGCACACCAAGCCACCTATAAACCACGGCCCTCTCACGGAGCTTCTGCTTCACATGTATCAGACTATTTGTGAAGCTGTTTTTGTTTTGTTTTGTTTTTTATAACTACTATGTATTATTTTTGGAATTAAAAACTTAAAAAAAAAAAAGAAATCCAGTGCCCTTTGGTGTTCAGTAAAGCATGCAGTGAAGGGCAGAACATGAGGAAATACTTTGTTAACTTATCTGCATCTCAGTCTCCGCCTCGGTCTGCTGCCCAGGTGACACCAGGTAAAGCTGGGAGGGTGTCGTGCAAATGAACCCTGCAGTCTTCTCCCCCCGCCCCTGTTCCCGGGCATCCTGCTGGGGAGTCCCACAGATGATCCCCGAGGGACATCCCAGTCCTCCAGCAGAGGACTCCCAGGGTAGCGGGGCACTGGACGGCGCTGCTGGCTTACCGTGAACACAAGGGAGGGCATGGGTGTGAGGAGCTGCGGGTGGATCATGGAGAGGACGGAGGGGAGGTGGCCCTCCCTGGACCCCACGAAGAACAGCCTGTGGACACAAGAGCAAGCAGGCAGTCAGCCTCATCCCCGAGCAACCCAGGCAGGATGGTGGGTGGAAAGGGCCTGCGCTAAGGACTGGGCTCCCTACTGGGGACCTCCTGGTGTCCCTGACCAACTCAGGTGGCAAGGGGAAACATTCGGGGGGCTTGCTCATCCCCATACTCCCCATCCCCACCCCCAGATAGGGTTCACAATGAACTCCTGAAAGAATCTGGAAGGACACAGCACTTGCGTCCCCTCTGGACCGGGAAGGGTTCATGACTCCTTTATTTCTGTATTACTTGAACATGGTGATAGCCATATATTACTCAGCATAACAACAGAACTTTTAAAGCTCACGTTAAAAAGCGGTGTGTAGGGCCGGCCGAGTGGTGCATTGGTTAAGAGCTGGCTTGGGATGCCAGAGGGCCCCGGTTCGGATCCCACATATGAGGGCCAGTGACACTGCCCTCCACAGCTAAGATGCTGAACAA